CTTTGTTTTCTTTCAACAGTATTTCTTGCTCTCTTTTTTTCATTCATGCATTCATTTATACATTCATTCTTTCCTTTCCCTCTCTCCTTCTCACTTTTCTTTCTTCTCAGTGTGTATCTCTCTCTCTTCTCTCTTCTGTTCTTCCTCTTATTCTCATTCTTTGATCCCTTGCCATCCTCATCTCCCTTTTCTCTCTTCTTTTTCTCACTCCCTCTCTATTTACTCTTCTCTATTGTTATCACTCTCTCCTTCTCTCTCTTTTTTATTTCTTTTTTCTTTTTTCTCTCTTTATCTGTTTTGCTCTTTTTCTTTCTTTGTTTCTCTCTTGCATTCTTCTCCTTCTTATCTTACTCTTTCTTGATCCCTCCAGCCCCTCTGTCTCTTCTTCTCTGCATCCTGCTCTTTTTATTTTTCTGTTTATGTGTTTCTCCTCTCCCATGCATTCTTCTCTTGTCTCTTCTCTCCTTTCTCCTGTCCTCTCCTTTCTCACTTCTCTCTTCTCTCTCTCCCCCACTCCTCCCTCTCTCTCCTCTCCTTTCTTTCTTTCTTTCTTTCTTTCTTTCTTTCTTTCTCCTTTCCCCTCTTTCTTTCTCCCCTCTCTCCCTCTCTCTCTTTTCTCCTCTCTCCCTCTTCTCTTCTCTCCTCTCTCCCTCTTCTCTTCTCTCCTCTCTCCCTCTTCTCTCCCTCTTCTCTCCCTCTTCTCTCCTCTCTCCCTCTTCTCTCCTCTCCTCTCCTCTCTCCCTCTTCTCTCCTCTCCTCTTTCCCTCTTGTCTCCTCTCCTCTCTCTCTTCTCTCCTCTCTCCCTCTCCTCTCCTCTCTCCCTCTCCCTCTCCCTCTCCTCTCCTCCTCTCTCCTCTCTCCTCTCTCTCTCTCTCTCTCTCTCTCTCTCTCCTCCTCTCTCCCTCTCTCTCTCCCTCTCCTCTCCTCTCTCCCTCTTCTCTCCCTTTTCTCTCCTCTCTCCCTCTTCTCTCCTCTCTCCCCCTCTCTCCTTATTATTTCTCCCTCTTCCTTTCTCCCCTTCTTTCCTCTCCTATTTTCTCATATCTCTCTCCTCCATCCCTCCCTCTCTCTCCTCCCTTTCCTCTCTTCTCTTTCTTTCTCCCCTTCTTTCCCTCTTCCTTTCTCTCACCCCCCTCCCCCCTCTTCCTTTCTCCCCTTCTTTCCCTCTTCCTTCTCTCTCACCCCCCCCTCTTCCTTTCTCTTTCTCTCTCTCTCTCTCTCTCTCTCTCTCTCTCTCTCTCTCTCTCTCTCTCTCTCTCTCATTTATCCAGGTTGTAGCATACCTAGTAGTAGTTGCTCACATTCAAATGGACTTGTCCTGTAATGTTGAAGGCATTTTGCAGCTTTTCCAAACCACTTCTTCAATTCTAATGACCTTCAAGAACATACCCCAACCTTTCTATCTACACAGGTAGCACCAACACCTTCATCCAATCACCATGGATTGTGTCAAAGCTGTTGCTTGTCCAAGAATAGGATGGGAAGTGTGAAAGTTGTGGAACCACCCTGTTCTAATTACATCATTCCAATCTTGACAATTGTCAATGAGTCTGTATAGGTGTTAATCCTTCCATCAGCATGGCTAAAGGTGTGAATTGTCCAATTGCCAGGGCAGAGAAGTCAAATTGGCATTCTATGTGGAAGACAGATGGGGGGATCTACTAAAACTTGAGAGCGCAAAACCTGGTGCAGCTGTGCCTAGTAACCAAGTTGCTTTTGACTTCAGCTTGTTCAATTAAGCTTTGACAAATAAAACCTGGAAGCTGATTGGTGTCTATGAAGAGCAGCACCAGATTTTTCACTCTCCAGCTTTAATAAATCAACCCCATGGCGTCAACTTCATCATTTGTTCGGGGTTGGTTTTCCAATTTAAAAGAGATGGTCTTTGTATCTTTTTCCCTTTTTTTTCTCCTCCCCTCTTATTTTCTCTGCCCCTCTCCCAAGTTCAGAGGATCACACTAATCCCCATATTTAAATTTCAAACCCACGCAGACTGCTGGCTGACATAAAACTAAACACCATACCCAATATAACAGCCATGGGAAAACCAGCATATGAAGCCACAGAGCTGCTAATTGAAAGTTGGAGTTTGAAGGATTTATTTATATGATATTGTCCATTGGCTGCCAGAAGAATTCCAGGTATGGATACTTTTACATAGTTACATTGGTCCAGTTTTGAGCAAAGTAACTATATATATATATATATATATATATATATATATATATATATATATATACATACCTACCTGTGGGATGCCTCTAGAAGCTGGAAATCACTGTAGTAGACATTACTACACCATTACTACACCACGACTACACTGCTAGTCCAGTGATCTCCATTACCTTGGCCCATGCCAAGAGACTGCCCTGCTGCATTGTTAACACGGGACGTTGGCCACTTGGCATGGGCACCATTTAAAGAATGCTTTCCATTTTCTGAATGAATGCAAATCATTCTCTGATTGGACAAGGCAGAGAATGTGACTTGTACAGCTACTTTGCAAGGGACCTGGAAGCTAGTGAAAATCACTGAAGTAGTAGTGCTTATTACAGTGATTTGCAATGTCTATAGGGATCCCACAAGTATGCATAGTTACATTGATCCAAGCTGGAACAATGTAACTATGCAAACATATACATACTTGGAATTTCTCTTTAGGTCTATGCAGGACTTTTGTTCTTAGATAATAGATGCAGGAACTCCTCCAAATAACTCACCCCTTGTCTCCGTCCCCTACTTACCTCTGAAAGCATCAGCATCACCTCTACTCACCTCGCAGTACCACCTCTTTTAGACTCCCCACCCCTGCAAAAATGGGCCCCCACAACAAAATATCACCCCTGCAACAATAGACCTCCTGAGGCAACAACAAATTTCCTAACAGTCAGCATTTATAGACTGTCCAGCAGCCAGCAACAGACAATCTCTCCCTCAAAAGTAAATCCCTCTCAGCAAAAATTGAACCCCCAGCAAAAATGTATTCCCCCACCAGCAATACCATACCCCTATGCAAAAAAAGGATCCCCTACAGTGACAATAGATCCCTCAGCATCCAACATCAATAGACCTTCCAGCACCCCTGGCCATTACATAGACTCAGTGCTGAAGGTGGAGTTCATCTCCAGTGACAATAGATTCCCCAGCATCCAGCATCAATAGACCTTCCAGCACACCCCAGCATCTCTGGCTATTACATAGACTCAGTACTATAGGTGGAGGTCATCTCCAGTGACAATAGAACCCCCGGAATCCAACATTAATAGACCTTCCAGCACCCCTGGCCATTACATAGACTCAGTGCTGGAGGTGGAGGTCATCTCCAGTGACAATAGGTCCCCCAGCATCCAGCATCTATAGACCTTCCAGCACACCCCAGCACCTCTGGCCATTACATAGACTCAGTGCTGGAGGTGGAGGTCATCTCCAGTGACAATAGAACCCCCGGAATCCAACATTAATAGACCTTCCAGCACACCCCAGCATCCCTGGCCATTACATAGACTCAGTGCTGGAGGTGGAGGTCATCTCCAGTGACAATTGATTCCCTGGCATCCAGCATTAATAGACCTTCCAGCACCCCCCAGCATCCCTGGCCATTATATAGACTCAGTGCTGGAGGTGGAGGCCACCTCCAGTGACAATAGGTTCCCAAGCATCCAGCATTAATAGACCTTCCAGCACCCCCCAACAACCCTGGCCATTATATAGACTCAGTGCTGGAGGTGGAGTTCATCTCCAGTGACAAGAGATCCTCCGGCATCCAGCATTATTAGACCTTCCAGCACACCCAGCACCCCTGGCCATTACATAGACTCAGTGCTGGAAGTGGAAGTCACCTCCAGTGACAATAGATCCTCCGGCATCCAGCATTAATAGACCTTCCAGCACCCCCCAGCATCCCTGGCCATTATATAGACTCAGTGCTGGAGGTGGAGGTCACCTCCAGTGACAATAGATTCCCAAGCATCCAGCATTAATAGACCTTCCAGCACCCCACAACAACCCTGGCCATTATATAGACTCAGTGCTGGAGGTGGAGGTCATCTCCAGTGACAAGAGATTCTCCGGCATCCAGCATTAATAGACCTTCCAGCACCCTCCAGCATCCCTGGACATTATATAGACTCGGTGCTGGAGGTGGAGGTCATCTCCAGGGACAATATATTCTCTGGCATCCAGCATCTATAGACCTTCCAGCACCCCCCATCACCCCTGGTCATTACATAGACTCAGTGCTGGAGGTGGAGGTCACCTTCAGTGACAATAGATTCCCCAGCATACAGCATTAATAGACCTTCCAGCACCCCCCAGCAGCCCTGGTCATTACTTACACTCTGTAGTGCTGGAAGTGGCGAAAGTGCATTCCCCGCGTTCCTACTGAAAAAAAAAGCCCTGGGTCTGTGCCCATTTGTGTTTATGACATAGGGGACACTAACCGTGGTGTTTCCTAATCTTAAAAATCCCTGAAGAAGGGACGTCTTAAGACCCCCAAGACGTATTGGCATGTTTCAATGTATTTTTGTGAGGGAAAAAAAAATGTTGCATAGAAGTTATATGTGGCTTTCCTCCACCTTGAGTTACTCAAGGTTACAAAGGTTATGGTTAGAGATGAGCGGATCGAACATGGCGAAGTGGAATTCGTTTCGAAGATTGGGAAATATTCGATTCGCGACGAATCCGAAGATTAGCCAACTTCGGATGCACGAATCGAATTTTCCCAAAAATGGCGGCGACATGTGTGGCGACGGAGCGGGGATCTCTGGGAAGGCGCGCAGACAAGGCGCGCTGACCCATAATGCATTCATTCATGACATGTGATCGCATTAGCCAATCAGCAGCCAGCCAGCCAGCCAGCCAGCACTGTGTAATGGTGGAGCTATAAATCGCGGCCATCTTAGAATTCTCCATTAGCCTCCAGTCATTCAAGAGAGACAGACCTCTGTGTATTAGGGACAGAGTTAGGGCCACAGAGACTTTAGAATCGTTTAGGGACACAGGTTACTCAGGGACACAGAATCGTTACTCAGGGACACAGAATCGTTACTGAGGGACACAAAATGTTACTCAGGGACACAGAATTGTTACTTATCGTTACTCAGGGACACAGAATTGTTACTCAGGGACACAGAATCGTTACTCAGGGACACAGAATCGTTTGCTGAGGGACACAAAATTGTTACTCAGGGACACAGAATTGTTACTCAGGGACACAGAATCGTTACTCAGGGACACAGAATTGTTACTGAGGGACACAGAATCGTTACTCAGGGACACAGAATCGTTACTCAGGGACACAGAATCGTTACTCAGGGACACAGAATTGTTACTCAGGGACACAGAATTGTTACTCAGGGACACAGAATTGTTACTCAGGGACACAGAATTGTTACTCAGGGACACAGAATCGTTACTCAGGGACACAGAATCGTTACTGAGGGACACAGAATTCGTTACTCAGGGACACAGAATTGTTACTCAGGGACACAGAATTGTTACTGAGGGACACAGAATCGTTACTGAGGGACACAGAATCGTTACTCAGGGACACAGAATTGTTACTCAGGGACACAGAATCGTTACTCAGGGACACAGAATCGTTACTCAGGGACACAGAATTGTTACTCAGGGACACAGAATCGTTACTCAGGGACACAGAATCGTTGAATTAAAGAGTATGTCAGACAACACGCAGAGGAGTGGCAGAGGAGGCAATGTTTCAGGAGCGAGCAGACGTGGCAGCAGAGGAAGGGGTCGAGGCAGCACTAGTCGCAGCCAGAGGCCAGTGCTCCCGGTGTCATCCAGCGGTCGTGTCTCCACCGACAACCCTGCCGTCATCGATTGGTTGGCTCGGTCGTCTTCCTCTTCCCAGGTCACCTCTGACACCTACAGCCAACGGTCGGTGGGTACGTCAGACACAACCGTTAGTTGGCATGGCCCGGGAGCAAGCCCACTGAAATCACGTGTCCTCTACCTGCCCCTGTCCTTTGGTGTTCCCTCACCAAGCGAAGTATCGCATGCTGTGGGCTCAGCCCCACTGTACAGTGAGGAAGAGCTAACAGAGGGCGATCAGGAACGGGGGGAGACATCCGCCTCTTCAGCAGCCAGGCGAAGAAGTACTGGCGAGGAGAGTGGCTCGGTAGCCGGTCTAGAGACAGGTCTGTCTCCTGACCCACACGCAGCCGAGGGGGCTAGTAGTGAGGCGGAGACCCTAATTGATGATGATGAGGCTGATCGCACTTGGCAGCCTCGTCGTCATCAGGCTATTGCTTCCGCATCATCAGGAGAAGAGGGTGCCAGCTTGGCAGCGAGCAAAACAGTCGGTGGGTTGCCCAGGAGGCAGCAGGGTCGCAGCAGTGTCAGTGGAGGCAAACGGCCACGGAGTAGAGCACCAGCTCCACTGCAGCCTACCACCACGGCCAGTAGTGGTGCCGGTGTGCACGGAGGAAGTAGCAGTCAGCCAGTGAGGAGTAGCGGGGGCAAAGTTTCCCTACTCGGCGGTGTGGCAATTTTTCGTCAAGCCGCCCGAGGAAGTAAACGTAGCCGTATGTCGACTATGTGGCCAGAAAGTCAAGCGTGGCCAGGGGGCCCATGTTGGGACTACAGCGTTGCGTCAGCATATGCAGCGTCGCCATTCGGTGGCCTGGGAAAACCGTGATAAAGATACGGCGGTTCTGCCTGCCCCAGCCCCCGCTCCATCACCCGCTCCGTTACTTGCTCCGTCACCCGACGTCAATCGCCCTCTATCAGCCAGTCAAGGCTCCAACACCTCTGCTGAGGGGAGTTGTCGCTCGTTGGCATCTTCCGCTCGTTCAGATGCTCCTTCTCCTGCTACTCCTCTTCACGGATTCCGTCAGCAGTCTTTCTTGGAATCCGTTTCCAAGAGACAACAGTTTGCGAGCACGCACCCGACGGTGCAGAAGCTGAACGTCCTCCTGTCCAAGTTGCTGGTGCTGCAGTCCCTCCCTTTCCAAGTGGTGGACTCAGCACCTTTCCGAGAAATGATGGCTTGTGCCGAGCCGCGGTGGAGAGTGCCAAGCCGGCATTTCTTCGCCAAAAAGGCAGTGCCAGCCCTGCATCACATGTAGAAGAGATGGTGGGCCAGTCTTTGAGCATGTCGGTCTCTGCCAAAGTGCACGGCAGCGCCGACGTGTGGAGCTGTAACTACGGTCAGGGACAGTACATGTCATTTACGGCCCACTGGGTGAACGTGGTGCCGGCACAGCCGCACCAGCAACTTGGACAGGTCACGCCGCTTTTGCCTCCACGTTTGCACGTCCTTGGTCCAGCAAAGATGTCCGCCTCTACCACCTCTTCTTCCGCCGTGTCCTCAGCCGCCACCCCCGTGCCAAGTCCCATTACCCGACCGGCATATCACATGTGCAGGGGCGCAACGGTGTCACGCTGTGCTGCACCTGGTATGCCTTGGCGAACGTAGTCACACAGGGGAGGAACTTCTGAGTGTAATGAACAGAGAAATCGACAGATGGCTGTCTCCGCGCAAACTGAAAATCGGAACCATGTTGACCGACAACGGAAAGAACATGGGTGTCTGCTCTGCGTCAAGGAAGGTTGTGCCATGCGCCATGCATGGCTCACGTGTTCAATCTGGTTGTCAAGCGGTTCCTAAAATCCACCATCCCACTGCAAGACATCCTTAAAATGTCACGTAAACTTTGCATGCATTTCAGCCATTCCTACACCGCAAAGCACACCCTCCTTGAGCTGCAGCGGCAGAACGGAATTCCACAGCATCGCCTGATCTGCGACGTTGCAACAAGGTGGAATTCAACCCTACATATGTTAGACCGCCTTTACGAACAGCGAAAGGCCATCACCGATTTCCTGATGTTACAAGCGGATAAAGGTACTCCCTGTGTAACTTAGATGTCAGCCATTGGCAGCTCATGCGTGACACCTGCCGCTTGCTCAGGCCCTTTGAGGAGGCCACGCTATTCGTGAGTCGGCAGGACTATGGGATGAACGACGTCATTCCTCTGTTGCACGTCCTGGAACAAATGCTGTTAACAATGGCTGGTCAGGGTGCGGTAGACGTGGCGCACAGATCTCAACGCCACATGACCCCTGTGGGGGCAGGACAGGAAGAAGAGGAGGAGGTAGAGGAGGACATTGGTGCTCAGGAATTATTGAGTGAAATGGGTGGTTTTTCCACTCAGCGGACAGGAGTGGAGGAGCAGGAGCATCTGGTAGAGGAGGAGGAGGAGACAGAGGACCCAGACGCACCGTGGCAGTATGCTGTGGAGATGGAGGCAGGGAGTCCCTCGCATTCCTTGGCACAAATGGCCCATAGCATGCTCGGTTGCTTGCGTAGCGACAGCCGAATAATAACCATCAGACAGAGGGATGACTTTTGGCTGTCCACCTTGTTGGACCCTCGCTACCGTTCAAAAATGGTGGCCTTTTTCACACCTGCTGAGAGGGAGGCCAAAATAACGTACTATAAAAACCACCTATGTAGTCAGTTGGTCTCTGCCTTTCTGCGCCAACGTCCATCCTCAGACACTGTGGGCCCTGTGCGCTCGCGTTCCGCTGCCATGGCAGCAGGGGAGGGGTGGGGTGGTAGGAGCAGTGGCAGCTCCACCAGCAGCGGCTGCCTCAGTCTGCAGTCGATGATGAGTAGCTTTCTTCACCAGCGCAGTGAGGAAACTACTAACCACCGCAGCAGCAGCAGCAGCATCAGGTGGACCTGGAGCAGGACCTCAAACAACAGGCTTGGGCCTACTTGGACAGCACCCTGCCAACCGAGGTAGACAATCCCCTTGACTACTGGGCAACGAAACTTGACCTTTGGCCCCAACTAGCTGAATTTGCCCTTGAAAGGCTGTCATGCCCGGCCAGTAGCGTGGCATCGGAGCGCGTGTTTAGTGCGGCAGGAGGTATTGTAACTCCGCGGAGGACACGACTGTCCACCCAAAGTGTGGAGAGACTCACGTTTGTGAAAATGAATCAGGCGTGGATTAGTCTGGATTTCAAACCACCAGTTCCTGACACAACTGACTAAATCCGCCATGAATCATGCCCCAAACATGTTATTATTTTTAACATAGGCCTCTGTATGGCCTTCAATTTAAGCTGCTTACGCTTCGCCACTCTGCCATGGGCCCCTGTACCGCCTCCTCTTGCTGCTGCCAGGTCCAGAGTGTGTCATGGGTCCCTGTACGGCCTCCCATTGCTGCTGTCTCCATCGCCACACTCTGCCATGTGCCACTTTCAGGTCTCCTCACACTGCTGGTGGGTTCCATTTTGTCATAGGGTGCTGGCAGATTACGGGCCTCCCATTGCTGCTGCCAGGCCCGTAATCTGCCATGGGCCCCCGTACCGACTCCTCATGCTGCTGCCAGGCCCGTAATCTGTCATGGGCCCCTGTACCGCCTCCTCATGCTGCTGCCAGGTCCAGAGTGTGTCATGGGTCCCTGTACGGCCTCCCATTGCTGCTGTCTCCATCGCCACACTCTGCCATGTGCCACTTTCAGGTCTCCTCACACTGCTGGTGGGTTCCATTTTGTCATAGGGTGCTGGCAGATTACGGGCCTCCCATTGCTGCTGCCAGGCCCGTAATCTGCCATGGGCCCCCGTACCGACTCCTCATGCTGCTGCCAGGCCCGTAATCTGTCATGGGCCCCTGTACCGCCTCCTCATGCTGCTGCCAGGTCCAGAGTGTGTCATGGGTCCCTGTACGGCCTCCCATTGCTGCTGTCTCCATCGCCACACTCTGCCATGTGCCACTTTCAGGTCTCCTCACACTGCTGGTGGGTTCCATTTTGTGTCATAGGGTGCTGGTAGATTACGGGGCTGCTGCCAGGCCCCATGGGCCCCGTACCGACTCCTCATTGCTGCCAGGCCCGTAATCTGCCATGGGCCCCCGTACCGACTCCTCATGCTGCTGCCAGGGTAATCTGCCCGTAATCTGTCATGGGCCCCTGTACCGCCTCCTCATGCTGCTGCCAGGTCCAGAGTGTGTCATGGGTCCCTGTACGGCCTCCCATTGCTGCTGTCTCCATCGCCACACTCTGCCATGTGCCACTTTCAGGTCTCCTCACACTGCTGGTGGGTTCCATTTTGTCATAGGGTGCTGTATGGCCTCCCATTGCTGCTGCCTCCACCGCCACACTGTGGCTCCCACTCTGGTTTTGGCCCCGTGACTGCCCAAATGAGTGAAGTGTGCGGTGATTCTAAGATCGACGGCACTCATCTGCATGTCATACTGACTGACAGTATTATTTCTCTTCCCCAGCAGACTCCAAGGGCATTTAAATTAAAGGTACAGTGTTCTGCACTAATATAAAGGCTCTCTGAAGCCTAGAAACACCCTTTTTATAAGTTAAATTCGCAGCGAATATATTCGCCTCGAATCGAATTTATTCCGCGAATTCGGCACATGGAGAACAGGCAGTAGAATGAAGGCTCCATCTCCTCCATTCATAGAC